CCAATAAAAACCCCATGATCCCAATGATATACATCCATTCCTCTTCATTACAGCTCCTTTATATTAGTGAATAAAAAATAAGGTCCAGTGAATACAATAATGTCATATTTCTTCAGCATTTATGTTATTAAATTGCATTTCTTAGAGAATTCTTCATACCTACCTGACAAGCAAAACTTATGACAACACTCTGCCACACTGAAGGTTACTCACCGATGCCACTTAAAGCCACTAACATTGCTTACACCACTATTTCCTTGATCATCCCTTTTGCAACATATAGGAACTTTTAAAAAACTGCTGTGCACAGAGGGAAGTATTATTTAATTGCTCAGAAAAATAGTCTCAGAAAATGTCAGTGTAGTTGGAGTTGGTCAAAGTCCAGTTCAGAAATCCTCACTTAAAGGATTACTGACTTCAAAAGGCATCAAACTAATTGTCTTGTTTCAAATAAGAAAAATATGAGAGCAAAGATATTCTGTGCAAAATTATAATGATAGTCAATTATATTACCTGGCACTATAACAGGACTGAACTTTAAGGCATACAGAAAGGAGCAGAACTGATGCTGAATATTCACCCTTTTTTTTTTTTTAATGTCCTGATTTTAACTACTTGTTTTTTCAATTTTTTAGTTTTGTAGTACTGTTACAGTCTTGCACATGCGCAGCAATAAGCATATATGTAGATGGCTTAGATGCCCTTATCCCCATAGAAGTATGCTAGATAATATCATACCTGGATCCGTCACCATTGTAGCTCAGAAGATGAGAGATATTGATCTTGAAATATAGGATAATCCTCTCTCCCTCAGCACTTCTGTCATCCTCTTGATCCTTGGCACCTGTCTTCCTGTCCTCTATCTTTCATGCCTTTTTCCATTCTTATATAAAGGAGGAAGCTACTGCTTGAGATACTGCCCACTTTTTTGGTCGGTAGCAATCCTACCCACTTTGTTATAGCATGAGCATAGCAAGGAGGGAAGGCCAGCTGAACATATTGGCAAATCTTAAACAATGATGGAAAAATAACACATTGCCAGGGAAATGGACTCCATACAAGATAGCCCTGGATGTCTGGGACATTAATTATTATTAATTTAATTTGCACTTTGCATAAGAATGTTATTTTAAAATTTAAAACTGTTAATATATAGGGAATACTTTACATGGCATCAACTAGAAATTTACCTCAAGGGTGAGATACAGCAATGGTAGAAAGGTACCAGTGCTAGACAATCTTTATAAACAAATGAGGGAAAGAATACCAAAACATCAGGGAGACTTATCTAGGCAGAATATCATTACCTAAATTAGAATGTGCCCAAGAGTATGCAATGTTAATACTCCTCCTCCAGCCAAAAGCTCATTGGGCTCTTTAATGATCACAAGGGACTAAAACTCCATTTTAAATTTCATCCTCAAGATAGTGCCAGCAGAAGGACACTGCTCCATAAGAGTGTCTCTTCATACATTAGCTACACAGGGGGTGTTTCTATACAAGATGCTATGTGGCTCATCACTATATGGTGACATAGTGTCGGGAGGCATGAACTGTGATGCCCATGCTACTGCGCAGTAGCAACAAGCCAACCCTGCGCAGTAGGGTCAGAAATGACCTATGCACTGCCAGGACTAAAGGAAGCACTAAATGACTGCTCAGTAACAACCGCACAGTCAGGCGCATGTGTAGATGTGCCCAGAGACTCGGGACGAAGAGTGCCATCTACTGAGTTACCCAAAACAGCTTCATAACAGTGCCTTGATGAGGATTGTAAGACTGGATTGAACCAGTGAACCATCTAGTGCAGCCTTGCCTCCAACAGTGGCCAGAATCAGCTGCTTCAAAAGGAAAGGATGGCAGATGGCAAATATGGAATATCATGCCAGATGGAAATTTCCTTCCAAACCTCATGTCGTCTTCCATCTAGCAGCTTGACGTAGCATGCTTAGTTAATAATATTTAATAAGACCCAAGATGAACTGATACCAGATTGCAAGGTGGAGAGGTATAATGATATTTTCTAGCACCCTTTGTTGTTGTTTATTTCTTAATCATCTCAAGTGTGTCGCTTACCTGATGTAATGTCATGATTTATTCCCTCCACAGAAATCGTAGCATTCGCAATTGGATTACCCTGAAGATCTCTAACAAATCCCTTCACTCCCCGATGTATCTAGAAAAGCCAACAATGCATGGGAAATTAGATGTTTTCTAAAGAAAAAAAGACAGCTGTTCAGGTCAGCAACATATCAAATACTGCATGATCCCAATCCCAACACTACATGCTGAAAATAACTAACAAGGATAATTTCTAAATATCAATGGAATATTACTCAGTGACTGAGCCAAGAGACTTCAGCTGTTGATGTGACTAATTCATTTGTGCTATGCAGCATTAACATAAGTATGCAGCAAACCATGAAGGGAAATATGCACTCACTTGAATCCTTTTATTATTATGTATTAATGAACATGATGAAAGCAGTTGGGAGGCAGCCCAAACAAGAGCTTTTGCACATGTTGTTTATTTTTCTCAACTACACAAATTTAGGGCCAAATAAAGGACACCAGTGCCTAAAAGCGAGGTGCTGCAGCATCTAACTTTTGGGCCCCTAGAGAGGAATCCAGAAGTCTGCTTTGATACCTCCATTGACAGTAAAAAAAAGGGGAGCTACATGCCTGAGAATGGAGCCTGAATACTGAGCAGGGAACTGGTTAATATTAATACAGCCAGCACACAGCTACATAGAGCTAGCCAGTGGCAATGCATAGGGGGTGCAAGGGGATGCACATGCACCCCCTAAGAGTGCCGGTGTACCTCCTGACCAGCCGCGCTTGCCAGTTAGGTGACGGAAGGGGGGACAGGCAGGAGCACCAGTGCCCACCCCCCCTGCAAGCACTGGCCAGGGAGTGGAGCACTGTGGTGCTCCCGAAGCAGCTGCAGCTACCAGCCACAGCACTTGGCCGTCTTGCGACCGGCCGCAGGGGTACCCCTCCACCGTTAGCAAGATTGGCCATGGGAGGACATGCCCCCCCCAACTAAGGCAGCACCAATCACCCATTAAGCTATCTGACCACTAGGAAAAGGCTGAGGACTTGGGTGAATTAGCCTCTCCTGGCATCTTGCAAATGGCTACAGGAACATGTTGGTTCACCTGGGCTATGGACAGAAAATACACATAAACCAGTATAAGTGATTGGTAATTGGTTCGAATCTGTAACTCAACAGAAGTTTAGTGCACATAAACCACTAACACTGGTGGTTTCTGAGTGGTCAAAACTGGTTTAAAATAAGTCTGGATGGATGTGATATCAGACTTAACTGATTTAGGTTAAATCAATTCATTGAACCTCTGTCCCAGATCCCCTCAACACACAAGTTAACTCACAGTCCCCCAGCATCCCAGGATGCTTTGCACATCTCCTGCAAACCACCCCTGCCTTGCAGAGTGGGCAGGATAGACTTGGCTCAAGCTGGCTGCTCCAGCTGAACACTCTAGTGCCCCCCAGCTTCTGGCCTGGGCCACTGTAAGTATGTAGCTGCATTTCCAGAATCAAAAGTGAATGTCTGTTCACTTGCTTATTGGTTCAATCTATGCAGCTTAGACTAAGGGCACAGAAAGAAGTGACAATTTTTGCCTGATCTAGATCCTGAAAGCACTCTACAGCCATGACCAAACAGAAGTGTATGGCTGAAAAGGGCCTGCTCCCATGAAAATCTGAACCTTCATTGCATAAGAGTTCAAATGAAGACATTTCAAAACATAGCATCTTCAGTAACTTGTGTCTACCTGCCTCCCAGCCTCAGAGCTGCTTTCAGAATGGGAAGGGGGAAAGGGAGCAGAAGGAGCTTGGTCTGGGATTTTTTCAGTGAGCACTTCACCCCACTCACTCCACCCTCCAGCTATGGCTGGGGAACACCTAGAATGAGTTCCCTCCACTCCCTTTCCCCCCTCCCATTCTGAAAACAGTCCCGGGGTTGGGAGGGAGGAGGGGAAACCAGCTGCAGGCTGCAGCCAGCACCAAGATTCTCCAACCCCCTCCCCTCCATCCCTCTGGACCCAACAGTGAACTTCTGTTTGAGCCAGGGAATCGTTGCAACTAAGAACACTTCCTGCAAAGTGTTTTGACTTACAGCAGAGAGCTGCTCTTCTGTCTATGCCCTAATTTGTGAAGATTGAATCAATTCAGCCTCAGGCTTTTTGACTATATCTGTACTTAGCCTTGAGATCCATAACTTATTACCCTCTCTTATATATGTGTGTATATATATATGTGCCTAGACACCATTCAAAGCACTGAGGGGAACTTACTTTTTTCTTTAAAACAGAAGAGGAAGATGAGGTAGTGAGACCTTTTATATAAGGACCAAGTAGTGAGAGTATTCACTCAGTGGTTAAGTCAGTAGGGAGTAGAGACCAAAACTCAAGATCCCTTACCCTAGACCAATTATATCCTAATCACTAGACAACAAAACTGCCTCTATCTGATGCAGTTAATCTTGAATTCTTTGCTGTACAGTGGCACAGCTTCAACAGGAGGTATGAAGAATGCCCCAATTAAGAGTAATCATCCAAAGGCATGCTTGTGGGAAATACAGGATCTACACACTTCAGGCCAAGGTAACAACCTAATTCAGGTTTCTTGCTTGGTGAATGAGCACTCTAGCCATTTTGTTCTTCTATAAGGAGAAATGTAGTACTATTACCACTTGTTTCTCCTCTTCCTGCCATCTTTTAAAGTAAGGGCAACCACCACTGGATTTGGTAGGGAGCCCAATCATGTCAGCATGCTAGGCATACTCTGACAATACCTGTGAGACTAAGCTTTTCACAGGACTTAGGCAACAGAACACCTAACTTCTGGACCCTAGTCAGGCTTAGCCATGACCTAGGTTGAGTTGATCAGCCCTGTCAAGTCTGGAGCAGTTCTGGACATGCACAAGGGCCCACTTCTAGGTGCCTGGAGAGCTGTCAGTGAAACTAAGAGGAGCATCCAGGTTCAGATGGGCACTAACTGGGAGGCTTTAGAATTGTAATCCTGGACTATGCTCCTAAATTATCCCAAGTCTTACTTTAAATGTCTAAGTCTCTTACTGGATCTACCCCTTAAGTCTGGTATTGCAAAGAAGGAAGAATTTTATGTAAAATGTAGGCAGCTTCAACTCCCACTTTCATCTACTCTTTTCCATTAGTTGCTCAGCCCCATGTAGGAGTAAATCCTTCATAATAATAAATCCTGCTTCCATTTACGTAATGATAAAACTCACATTGACTTTGGCGATGGAGTAACCTCATTCAAAAATTGTGACCCAGGTTGTCTGGTGCAGCATAGACATTTTTGGATTGAAGTATGTCTTACAGTGTTGCTGGACTTTTCTGCAATAACTCCAGATTGTCAGAAGACAAGGTAGATATACTTCTTATACACTAACTGAATCAGATATACATAAGATGATGCACAACAAAAGAAATATAACTGGCCAGTGAAGAGAAGTCCTCCTGTGGTAAAGGGAACTCATACCTACTTCCAGATCTGATGGGTGTAGAGAACCAAGTGGCACTAACTTTCCTACCTTCCACTGACATCCAACACCCACTTTTTTGGCCACTATCGGTACTTATAACTTATGTCTAATTTATATAGTTTGTCACAGAGCAGGTAAGAAGAACAGAAAAGCCAGATCTACAACTTCTCTAGCAGAGGTACAGCTACCAGGGTCTGTGCCATGGATAGCAGTAGTGGCAACAGGAGGCAGGCTGGGCTGGCTATGGCAGTGGCTGGACTAACAGCAGCAGCAGCAGCAGCAACCACCATTTTTGCACATGCTCTAAGTGGGTGCCCGGGGCTGATGTCCCAGTTGCCCACCTCTTCTTAAGCTGCTGGATAGAACTATGCACTCCTTTGCCATCAGTGAGAATCTGGACAGAGGTAGCTAGCAATGCAAATCTTAAGTCAGGCAAAAGCAAGGGTAGAAATACACCTTATAGACTAATTGAATCAGATAAGCATCAGTTTTTGGGAGCAATAACTCACTCATGATGTACATCAGCATATGCATCTCTGATTCAGTTGGTCTGTAAGGCGCATCTCTACCCTGGCTTCTGACAATCTGGAGTCACTGCAGAAAAGGCCAGCAGAAGGGTAAAGTATGAGATCAACTGAGCTTCACTGATCAAGCTTGAAACTCCACAGCAGCAAGGGAAGATGGCAATTCAAGACCACATACATATCTACGACCAGGAAGGCTCCATGACAGACTACATTCCAATGAGTTTTGAACAATTAAGTCTCATGCAGAGTAATGTGCAGAGTTCCCAGACAGTCAGTGGGATCCTGTAGCAATGGGGAAAAATCCTAAAATACAAATACCTTGCTGCTTCATTATACACAAAACTTATATACAGACTCAGATGAATTTTATTCACTGCAAATATTTTATCTGGCAATTGTCAGCATTTTTCCTTATGTAAATTATTCTACAATAAATGTCTCTGTTATGCAAACCAGTTATTTTGGTTAGTTATATCTCTGCTGTCATAACTCCAGGCATACATCTCTAAATTTTAATCATAAATATTAAAAAGCTTTAAATACAATATTCACAAACAGGCAAGGTTCTTTATTAGACCAACTAAATAGTTGGGAAAAAAGTTCTGTGCAAGCTTTCAGGCACAAACATTCTTCTTCAGGCACTGGGAAACTCTGCTGCTGTTTTGTGTTCACAAAAAGATTTCAAAAGACTCTGAAGTCAAGACTGTTAGGACCTCTGGTCACTGCATGACCAGATCTGGGATGCAGGGTTAGGCTAGTGCGCAGGATTGCTCTGGTGCCAAATCAGGCATGCAGGATCATTCTGTGGCCAAACTGAGCCGTCACTGGATCTTGCACACAGACTGACCCTGCGCAAAGGATTCAGTCTGTAAGCCAGCCGGACACCACTCACCCAACCCACAAGGCCAGATAGGTTAGGCACCACTGCTCTAAGGTATCTGCATTCAGGATTGTGGTTCATGCTCACCTCTAAATCAGATTCTATGAATTTAAAATAAAGTTGTAATCATAATAGATGTGTCTAGAGTTAATGTCAGCAGCTTTGGCAGCCATAGCACCCTTATGCATGTCTAGTCACAGAACTAGGATACAATAGTTACTGTCTTCCCTCCTCTTGTGAAGAACTTTGTTTCATCTGTATGAAAGCATCAGCTGGGGTTTAACCCATAGGCAAATTATGGGTTAAATGGTGATTATAAATGAATCACAATTATGGTATATGATCGGATTAATACAGTAGACAGTTACCACTGTTTTTCCCTATCTGTCAAAAGAAAACATTAAGGCTAAGTACAGACAAACAAAAAGGGAGGGTAGTCAGTGGGGGAGTGGAGAAAGCCCCTGAGGTGTGCCCCTCCCCAGTGGTTCTGGGTGGGTCAGGGGGCTAGGACAGGAGTGGAGACCTCCACTTTCCCCTCATATCCACTTCCCCTCTGCCCCCTAACCATGAATGATGCATGTCCCCGGAGGGTGGGGGGGCATGGTGACCACACGCAGGCAGTGGTGGTGGTGTTGGCATCGAGGGCATGACAGCAGCGAGCTCCCACAGGCAGCCACAGCCGTGTCAGTGGTGGGGGTGAGCTGAGTAGGGAGCTCCTGCAGGTGGCCACAGCAGTATCAGTGGGGGGAGTGGCAGCAAGCGCCAACCAGTGGTCAGCGACCACCTGCAGATGTTGCCAGCAGTGTCAGCAGCAAGGGGGGAGGGGGTGGCAATTGATGACCACCCGCAGGCACCACCAGGCAGCATTGATGGTGCTTTTCACAGGGGGTGCATTGCCAAATCTTGGGGAGTGCACATGCACCCGTGTGCACCCCCCTATGCATTACTAATGCACCTAACAGCTGGCAGGGGGTGAGGCTAGGGAATGCAGTCACACCAGGGCAGTCAGAGGGAGCAGAGAAAGCCCCTGCAGCGTGCCCCCCAGCAATTCTGGCAGGGTGAGGTGGGGAGCAGGGACCTTCACTCTCCTACCCCACTGCACGGCTTGGCTGACAGATGCAGGCACAACACAGGGCTGGGGAACAGAGGCTTTTCTGCTTTGGCTCTGTGACAGCCCAGGGGCAGATGAGTGAGGGCACAGGCCAAGGCTAGCCTGCATGCCCTGCAAGACAAGGTTAGTGGGGTAGGTGGGTAGGTGTAAAGCATCCTGGGATACTGGGGGACTGTGAGGTAATGAGTCGGGAGGAGAGCTGGCACAGAAGTTCAATAGATTGTTCTAACCTAAACTGATTAAATCTGATATTACATCCATCAAGATCTATATTAAATCACGTTCTGTCATTTTGGAACCCTAGCCTTAGAGTTTTACACGCTTCCTTTCTCCTACCTGCTCAATGTAATTGACAAGTGAGTTCTTGTTGTCCTCCCAGTATCTCTTCAGAGTTTCCTCTGGTGGGAATTTCTCACAGCTCAGCTCCACAGTGATTTCAAAGCAGTTGCTGCTGAGGTAATTGAAGTCCTGCATTCCTGCAATATCAGCAGAGAGGTGTGTTCAGAAGATTTGCATTGCTCTGAGTGCGCAGTTTTCAAGAAAGGAAAATTCCTAGCAATGCAGGAATTAAGGGAAGTCTTCACTGAACACAGTAGGACTGATTTCTCTTTCCCAACAGAAGAACTAAAGTAGTTAGTGCAGTTAAACCAAAACAAAAAGAAAAAAATAAAGCCAGACACAATTTTTCTTGAGAGGGGGAAGAAAGTTAGGGGGGAAAAGCCCTTGGAACACTGTATCTGAACATTTGACCTCTGATGGGACATACTGACTGCTGCATACTTGGCAGAAAGCACTTTTTTTGGGAAAAAAAAGAAACTCAGAACAGTTTCTCGGTGTGGCGCAGTTATTGTTAAAGTAAAAGCTGACCATTATGTAACCTATAGTGAACAGCAGTTAATGATACTATGTGAATACTTATTTATATAAGTTAGTATACAGAATTATTTGCAATATGCAAAACACGAACGTCCTAGAGTTCTCATGCTAAAGTCTTTAGCATTGATAAGGCAAACGGCAACCTAAAAAAACTGGCACAACTTACCATGTCTGTGAAAAAATAGAAAGACTCTCAAATAGTAGCCTAATCATAGAGCAGCAGGAGCTCTTTTGAATTATCTTTACGATAATACAAGAATCTTAATAGACTTACTTGATAAAGTGCCATTGCAAGCCTCCTTAGTATACTGTGTTGTAAATGGTAATGGGAGTTAAACTAAAACTGAACAAGAACAGCAGGCATACAGCTTGTTAGTGATCCACTATTATTCCTCTTGTTCTTGACTACGGTCTCAAACTAGCATTCATTTCTGGCCGTGGAGACTTCCAAGGCATTTCTACCAGTAGACTTCTTCCTGGGAATGTAGCACTATAGGGGGGTGTCCAGACAAGCATGCATGTGTGGTTTGGGGTACAACAAGCTGCATGTGGAGAATTTCCAGTGCAGCACACAGTTGCACACTTGCAGCGCAATGCCAGAATTTGATACTGTGATGCCCCGTTAGCAAAAAAGCCACAAAAAGCAGCGTGGCAGTAGTGTGTGCCACCAGAAACAGAGCCTGGACATCCAGAGCCATGCTCTGTCTGCCAGCCAGGCTCCATGCAGCCAGATTGGTGCCACTGCTACCCCAGGAGGCCCCCTGGACCCTAGGTAAGGCTGCTGGGCCTAGCCTCCTCTACCCCACTCAAGACAATTTGGTGCATGCTGGAGTATGCCTTGGGGCGCAAAGCAGCAGCACAAATGTGTACTGCTGCTTTTTGTGCCCCTGGAAATGCACACCTCTGCATATTAGGACATGCCCTAGGTGTTCAGTCTTCAGCTAAACCTCTCCCCTAGTCTGTGTGCCTTCCCCAGACTAGGGTGATCCTGGCCTGGGGAAGACATGGGGAACAAGAGTTGCTCCGTTCCTCCCAGACCCAGACCTCCAATGACTAGGCAGAGGGTGAGAAGATTTGTTAACTGCTCCAGTCCCCTCCTGGACTGGTTGAGAGGATGGGAACAGTGGGGCAAGCCCCCCCACTAACTCCACAGTCTGGGGTCTCCCAATCTAGGGAGTGGGCAGCTGCTTCTCCATAGCAAAGAAAAGCAGCAGGCTGTGGGCACACAGCTCTTACAGTACTGTGTAAGGGGAGCTCCTCCATGTACAGCTCTAAGAGCTAGAAGCCTACAGCTGCACACCAGATGGGGAAAAGACTGTGGCAGTGAACCAGATCATGACCAGTTGGTCTGGAGAACAGGCGAGGAGAAGCCGGGCAATGGTGTACATGCCTTCCAGAATGGGGTGCCCTCAGTCTCAGGGAAACTGGAGAGGGCAAGGGCAATTCAATTTGTCCATGGAAGAAGTCAGCCTTCAGGAAAGTGCTTCCCCTCCCACATTCCCCACACCACAGTCATCTAATCTGGGGAAGGCATGGGAGAAGCTGTTTCTTGACTCTGAATCAGGGCAATGCCCTCACCTCCTGTCCCCAGCTATAACAGCAATAGCAAACATGTCCCTTCCAGCTTCCATGGCAGCCTTAGGGTGCAGACAGAAGTGCAGCTCCCAGCTGTAACTCAAAATCTTTTCTGCAAAGCGTTCCGAGTTACAGTGTTACCCCAGACCAAACAGAAGGGCTAGGGACAGACAATCAAAAAGCTGGAGCCTTAACTGATTCAACCTTTGCAGGTTAGTCTAACTTGCCTAAGTTAAACCAGTTTGTAATAGGACAAACATTCTCTCTGAACTGAGGAACTGCAAGCATATGCCTGCAATTGCTCAGGCCAGGGAGGTGTTTAATTCTCCCTCTCTCTCACCAGCAGGGACCCAAACTGCATCTGCCAGACATTCCCTCCTTCCTGCAGCAGCAGTGGGGCACCATGGCCCCTGAGGCAGAAGGGGGCAGGGAGGAGAGTTAGTCTCCCCTCTACCCCCACTGGCAGCCAGGTCAGCCCAACATCGCCCCCACACTCACATCCTGTGGGGGAATAGGCTCCTGCTGTCCTCTCCACTGGATGCCGGAGGGAGGAGAAATAACCCCAACCCAGCCCCCTCCCCCACGCCCCCAGCTGGTAGCCATGGCCCTGCCCCACTGCTACAGGGCTGGAGTCCCCTGCCACATCCCCTTCTCAGACTTTGGGCTGGCTGAGGCTGGCAGGGGGTGTGGGGGAAGATGCCCCCAGCCAGGGTTGGCTCTGCCCCCAGATCTGGGAGCCATGCCCCCCTCTCAACTGGCCCAGAGGATGAGAAGGGGACGTGGCAGGGGACTTCAGCTTCTCCTCTCCAGCCTTCCTCGCCTCCCCTCAGCTGACCCAGAGACAGCAGGGGACATGGCAATGGACTGCAGCCCTGCTCCCAGCTCTGGTGTGGGGGTAACCAAGCCTCAGTACAGGCTCCTTGATCCTCCCAGTCAGCCCGAGGCTGAGAAAAGGAACTCTTTCCCCTTCTGTGCAGAGAAGTCAGGCTGCTGGGCAGCCGCCCCTCCATCTGCACTTGGGACAGCGTCCGGAGGAATAAGCCCCCTCCTCCTGGGAAGGGGCTGGCCCAAGCACAGACTAAGAGGCAGCTGCCAGTACCAGAGCAGTGGCCTGACTTCTCAGCACAAGATGGGAAAGGGTTCCTCTTCTCAGCCTTGGGGCTGAGGGGAAGGGGGAAGGAGGAGAGGAGAGGGGAGGAGGGAGAGGAGAAACTGAAGTCCCTTCCCATCTCCTTGTTCCAGTCTATTTTGCCCACTAGCACAGGTCAAGTTCTTCATTTTATTTTCATTCAAATTAGGCAACTTCCTCCTCTATGCTGCCTGGGCTCAGCCAAACATTGCAGCCATTAAAAAGAAGACTTTCTGATGAGTTGCTCAGACACAACCTAGCCTGCAGCCCCCCATACCTGCAATTGCAGAGAAAGTCCATAGCTTGAATGTAACTAAACCTTGAATATGACTCTTCGGAGATTTTACCTGCTAAAATCTAATAAATCACTATTGAGCATTTGTTTTTCCAAGGGTTATATCAGAGTTAATTGTTTAATTATTTATAAATTCATTTTTTTACATTCATTCCCTGAGTCATTATAACTTATGTATTTCTTAGGAGATTAAAATATTTTGCTTTTTTCATCAAAAGTATGCGAGAGTTTTTTTCTTTTCCACCAAATGATCTAAAACTGTTTCTGGAGAATGGAATTGCTGAACTATTCCGAGACTGCCAGTTATGATGGGTAAAAAAAAAAAATCAATATTATTATGAGGCATGCTGCCTACTTATTCCTCTTTTTGCCTCTTTTCTTATTGTATGTTTCAAGCTCAGAACATAGGGAATTCCATGTTTGCCATCCAGTAGCTTTTAGGGGTTTTGCATCTACCATAACAAATGTGTCCAGGAGAATACTTTGTACTCTGAGCCTTTTATGGATGATCTTGGAAGATCTTTTTTCTTTAAAATTTACAATTTTAGTCCATAATCTATCATCAAATGCCTGATTTTAAAGGACCCATAGTTGCTGATGCTTCTCAGAGAGTAACAGAATCTGTACTACACAATGAAGTAGAACTAACCTCCAGGAACACTGTACCAAGCGCCACCATTGGTTGTTCCATCTACAAAGCTACTGTCATCGTCATTTTTACGACACGGTGGCCTGTTTGGATCAGACATGGCAGGGTTATAAGATGAATAACTCCGAGCCAGGCTTTGAAAAATAGCATCATCAGGGCAGGAGCTGTATTCATGAGCACTTCCTAGAAAGAAAACAGAAGATGCATGGATTAGTATAGTAGTCAGATTGATTGGAACTATAGCTGAGATTAAAAACTTTAAGCACACAGACTTTGTCCAAAACTTTTCTGTAAGGTGCCAGCTATAACTATACACTGTGAAATTCATATATTTACTGCAACTGATTGTGGCTACTTATATCATTTCAATAATAATAATTCCCATTTCTATTAATATCAGTACTAGCATGGCATTAATTAATATCTTAACAACATTATATGATAACTGACCAACTTATTCTATAGCAGTGTGCTCCATTTATTTAACTGAAACTGCTCTGGTCTACAGATGCTCAGGCAAGAAAAACTACAATATAGTTATTTTGCCTTACTTTTATTTTCAGAACTGTATTTTTTTTAAATAAATCAGTCAAATCTTTAATAAAAAGAAAGTATTGTGTATTGCTTCACTTTACAGGACACAAACAGCATATGATTACTTATATACTTATGTCAACTGTTGTATATTTGATTACTTGTTAATCATCAACAAGTGGCAATATATTAAAAGGTAATTGTAAAACATAGTGTACTTTGATTCTATTATTTGTTGAGGATAAAAAAAAAAAAAAAAA